CGTCCCCCGGTCTACTTGTAGATCAGTGCCGAAAAAATATATTTAAAAAAGTGGGCGAATTAACCACGGAAAGTCGGCTGCATCATTTGGGGCTGTCAAATTAAGATACGGATTGGCCGACTGACCGACCGACCGCGACCGCCACTCTCGGAATGACTCAAATTTCGTACTAGGGGTAGGGGGGTTGTCTGGCAGGCTGTCAGTATCTGGGAGTGCCGAGGTCGTGCCGGCCCCCAAGGACGTCATCGGGGACCTCCCGAGCACGCCGATGACACCCCTGTGACAACTCCGATTCAGCTCAAATTTGGAAGACGAGGGATTTTCAGACACGCTGAGCTCGAATCTGGCAGTGCCGAGGCCGTCCGGGCCGCCGAGGACGTGATCGGAGACCTCCCGAGCACGTCAATGACATCCCTATGACAAACTCCGATTTGGCTCGAATTTTGCGGTCCGGGGTTTTAATATCTGTTGAATTTGAATGTATAATGGTGCCGACGCCATCCGGGCACTCCGAACACGTCATCCCAAGCACGCGTGCGGTCACGACCGCTCTCACGGCGACCCCCGCCACGCACCTGCGTTTATTTTTTCAAGATTTCAAGTGAATCCCGAGGCCGGAAGGACGAATTAAAGTGGAAACAAAAACAGCGGAACCAGTAGCTGAATGCGAGCCGGCTGGGTAAGAGAAATACGTGATGCACGATGCACGGTGTTTTCATACTGCGCGACTGAGATTGTGATTCCAGATCCGATGCAAGGTTCTTTAATTGCGTTTAAAATTTGTCATTTGTCGAAGGTGAGTTTGGAGCATACGTTCTTTCTTGTTGCTAGCAGCACGTACCTTTTCAAGGCTGCACGTATAGTATCCCAGCCAGAAATGCCCCCTCTAGAGAACGTCTAGAGATTGTCTAAGGTCTATATTCGGACCATTTAGACGACTACGTAGACGTCTAAATGGTCACCTTAGACACACTCTAGACTAGACGTCCTCTAGATGGAGCATTTCTGGCTGGGATATCCCACGTAGCAAATCCATCATAAGTGCATCACGGCTGCATTACATTTGTCCAATCAAAAATGCGCCTAGGCGCCCAAGGTGCCAAAGGCGCCCAAGGTGGGCAAAAACTCGAATTTTAGATTACACATTTAATGCATCCATGATGCAGTTCTGCTACCAAGGTAACTATCAATGAAATGTAAGTGACTCGATGGACTGCTCTCCTCTCGTATTCTGGATCTGATCTCTCCGCCATGTATGCAAACTGAGTTAAACTTAAGTTTTGATCTATAAATTGTCATGATTAGGGATTCCATCATTCACTTGGGCGGCAGATTTAGAGAGGACTTATGGGATTAAGAAAAGCCCCACACAGCCAGAATAGTCTATAGGTCTGTCATTAGATATTTTGTTAACAATCGGAACATATTTTTTTACGGCTGAATTTACTGCTGACACTGTGTTGGGATTGGTGACCTAAATTGTCTACTCATCCATGACTGAGCCTGAAAGGCGTTATCCTATCCTATACTACAACTGTGACAAACGGGTCTCTAACAAAACTTTGTGATGTTTAGATGTTTCGGATATTTCTTATTAAAAAAAATTAACCATTCCGTCATATCTTTTGTCCAGCTGATGGTGAGCGTTTTAAGTTACAGTAGTGAAGTTGCTTAGCAAAGTCAGTACACCTGATAGTAGTGGCAGCAGTTGGCATGCTTGCAGCGGCTCCTAGTAACTTTGAATTAGCAGTAGGCGGACATTTTCTGCTTTTGTTTATTAAACTAATTATTCTGTACTTGTTGGCGTGCCACTGAGGTGAGCATAAATATGATCCACGTACTGTTTTGGGAACTGTTTTCAGTTACTTTTCAATTCTTTTCTTTTCTCACATTCGGTGGAACGGTCTACTGCAAGGGGAAAACGGGGGAGGGGTGGGTGGGTAGGAGGAGGGGATTCAGAAAACAACCGGTAAGCAAGCTGCCAGAGCATCGACATGGGGACTCGCCTCCAGAGTCCCTCTAGAAGCCAGACAAACCCAAAATGCAAAGCCTCACCTCCACGTTGACTGATTTTCAGGGACTTATTCACGATTGGATTTCGGCCGTCTTCCAAAAGTCCTCGTTGGCCCGCAAAGCTTGCAGATCCTTCAACCGAAAAATTCAGAAACTCCAACCTTACTTGTGCACTGTCTGCGTAGGTCGTCTCTAGAGTGATGCCGAAGCCAGCGCGGAAGCAGCGGCGGAGCAGTCAGTGCCCGGTACCCACTACTGAAGAGAGAGAGAGATCCGTGGTTTCTTTGCCAATGGCGTCGACAACGGCAGGCGTACCCACTGTAGCAACCGCCGAGGCCGCTGAGTCGGACCAACACTCGGACCCACACGAGCTGCAGGTACGTGAGGCGAGCTGGCAGGAGAGGAGACAAGGTTGTGACGTCATCTAAAACCCAATGCACTCGATTTTGCTGTCGAACGTGTAATCTTGATCAAAGGCGGGGGAAATAAGATTTGGAAGATTTGCTCACAAGCTCCCCCCAATGACCCAGGCTTTAACTTTTAACTTTTCAGTGGAGCATGGACCAGCTGCCCAAGGACGTCCTCCTCGAGGTGCTGCAGCACCTGCCCGTCGTGGACCTGCTGAAGTGCCGCCGCGTGTGCAAGCGACTCGGCGAGCTGGCGCTGCACCCGACCGTGTGGAGGCGGAAGGTCCTCTTGTCTTCGTCGGGCGGTTTTGTAAAACTGTTCTGTCCGGTGCTGCGTCTGGCGCCATGCTTGAACCACCTGAAGATCGAGTCGTTATCACCTTACCTGACTTGCGACCACAGCCTGAGCACGACCAGGTGTGGCGTGGAACACTTGGCACTCAGTGTCGGTTGCTCGGATGCCCTGAAGGCGGCCCTGGTGTTGCAGCGCCAGGAGGTGCTCGGCCGGCTGAGGAGACTGACTATAGCATTGAATGTACGGGCCACGAGCCTGGACAAGGACCAGGCCTCCATCCTGTACAGAACATTGGCGTTGACATCTCGGCTCGAGAGCCTCGTGGTAACAATGTCATACAACGCAGGCCCCGTCGAGTGCAGCTTCGCGGGCATCCACGTGCCAAGCTCATTGAAGAGCGTCGAGTTCAATCCCCACGGGCAGGAGCAAGCAGAGAACTTGGTCAACTTCATGCTGTCCACGCACGCCGCCACCCTGGAGACGGCACGCTTCCACGACCCCGTGTCCACCTCGACGCTGCAGCTGCTGGCCGGGCTGCCCCGCCTGCGCGAGCTCACCTGCCGGCTGCAGGCCGGGCTGGAGGTCCTGGCGGCGAGCGAGTCCCTGCAGGTCCTGACCATTAGGGCGGTAGGAGACACAGAGGCCGCTGAGGCCACCGCTGCCGAGTCGCTCCTCCGCCAAGCCCGCCAGCTGCGGCAGGTCTCGCTCGAGTGTGGGTATGGTGCACACTCGTACCTGTTCCCCGAGGCGCTGGTCCGGGCCCTGGCCGCCGAGGGGACGGAGCGTTCGCACCTCGAGAAGCTCAGCGTCGCCTGCATGTGCAAAGATATAGATGATCTGGGCGAGGTGCTCCTGGGAGTGCTGCCCGGGCTGCCGGCCCTGCAGGAGCTGGACCTGAGCTGCCCCAAGTACGAGCGGCTGCTGCGGGGCCTCACCCCCGCGACGGCGCCGGCTTTGCGGCGCCTCACTGTGCGGGCCTGCGCCCACGACTGGACGCACAGGCCGTCGGTCAAGGGGCTGCTGGAGGCCAACCCCTCCCTGCAAGTGTGGTCGAAGTGGCCACGATGCGCCAGTTGCCACGCGTGCAAACTCGCCTGCCACCGAGAGCTGGGGAGGACGAAGTCTGGCAGCCAAGTCTGCCTCGCTCTGAAAGAGGAACTGTCCATCTGCCCCAGTGTCCATAACCAATAAACTGTATCAATGTTCATTAAACCGCGTGCTCTCCAAATGCTCTTACTTTATTTGAATCATTTGATCGACACGATCCATCCCCCGAATCCTACATTAGACGGGGGTAATATGATCAAAATAGTGGAAAAAAACTTTTTGAAGAGGTTTTTGACAGACAGTTCTAACGCCTGGTAGGTAGGCCAAAAACGGGGTCCCTGTCTGTGCCGGTGCCGGCGGCCTATCCTCACCAAGTCGGGCGTCAGGCGACGGTGTAGCACCCCACCCCCCAACCGCCCACTTGGAAATCAGTGCTGCCAAAATAGGGGGCAAATATGCCACGCAACAGGTGTTTAGTGGGATGCATCTACGCCTGCCACAGTCAGACACCTGTGCCGAGGAGGCGCTCGATGCTACACACTAAACACCTGCGTCTGTGTGTAGAAAACTTGATATAGCTACACTTGAAAGATGGAGTGAGCGCCTCTTGTGCGTGAGGTCGGTTGGGACACGAAGGAGCAGTAGCGGTACCATATTTTGACGCGGGGCGGTCGACCTTGGCCGTGGCCGCCGCGGCTCCGCTTGGAGGAGGGGGGGGGGGACTGGGTCACCGCGCTCGCTTTGGTTTTGCGTGTTTTATTTTTAGCGGGCGATGCGCGCGGGGTGATGGCGGCTCGTTTCCCGCACCAATATCAATACAAGAACTAGCTGGGCGCACGGCGCACCGGAGGGAGGTGCCGCCGGCCGGTCCGCTCGTTCGGCTTCGACTCGAGTCTCGGCTCGGCCCCGTGCCGTACCCATCGCCGTGCCCCTACTCCCCCGCCGCCGCTCCAAGGCCACCTGTGACCCCCAAAGTGTTAGTTTTGTATGGTCCGGCCAGTGGCCGGCCCAGTCGGGGGGCGCGTCCATCAGGGCGCACCAGGCAAGCGTACGCCCAGTCCGGTTTCCTCTGCGACCCTCCGACATGGCAGCTGAGCGTGGGTTACTTCGCGATCGCATCACAGCGACTGTGGGTGGGTGGTCGATTAACCGAAAGTACGCCCGTTTTTCTCAGATTCATTGGGCAAAATTACGGGAGCTCGGCGCCTGCGAGACTCGGGGTAGGCCAACCCGCAGTACACGCCCGCACTGCCGGCAGGATGTTGCCTACCCATCAGGCGCTATGGGACCTTGCCGACCTTGCACGGGCTGAACTTGGCAGGTTCGCTACGGTGATTGACGGACGTACGTTCTTTCTGGAAGTATTCCTTAAGGGGAGCTTAGGGCAAAACCGACTGTAACTGTACAAACACACACGCCCACAGAGACAAATATCAAAACGATATTAATATCGGACAATTTTTAATCCTGGAATTGACATGATTTCTAAAAGTCAATCGATTAATCGCATCGGTTGTTGTTTATCGGTGGGCCGAAGTCCGTCCGCTTGGCCGGGCTGCTCGCGGCATCGCGACCGCGACTGGAGGCCGATCAGAGAGCCCCCCGGACGCGCCCTCTAAGCTGCTAAAACAGGGAGGAAGAGCGTTGCTCGAGAGCTCTCTGATCGCCCTCCTGGTGCAGCCCCCCCCCCCGTTTCATCTTATTCTTTCTCGTCGTGTGATTTTTCTTATTTGTTTGTCATTTATAGCGATGCCGAAATGGATAAGCGAGAAATTAGGGTTATTGCCACGGGTCAGGGAAACGCCAGGACCTTTAAGTCCCTGGCAACCCTGGACGTCGACCGGGGAGTCCGAGGAGCGCGATGAAGCTCCGGGGACCACTACGGACTCAGGCCAACACTCGGACGAGAGTGACCAGGTATGCAACGCGAACTGCTGCCGAACAGGGGGGGGG